TATAAAACAATGATCCAGGAAATAACCTGACTTCTTTTTTTAAAAAATATATTTTTAATTAATTGATTGATTTTAGAGAGAGAGGAAGGGAGAGACAGAGAGAGGGGAAAAACTCCATAGATTTCTTTTTCAATTTATTTTATGCATTTATTGGTTGATTCTTCTATGTGCCCTGACCAAGAATTGAACCCAAAACCTTGCCTTATTAGGACTTTGCTGCAATCAACTGAGCTACCGGGTTAGGACCAACCCTCTAATCTCTAGGTCTTTCTGGTGACCAGCCCCATCCTGAGGCTATTTGGACCCCCACCCTAAGTCACTTGAGCATATACTCAACTGTGCTCAAAAGGGACTTCTTATAAACAAAAAGATGATGCTCCCACCACTTAGGAACTTACAAGGGTTTAGAGCTTTGTGCCAGAAGCTGGAGACAAAGACTAAATATGTGTCTTATTATACCACAACTCTTCACGTGGAATCAGGGTTGGTCATTCCACTGTGGCATTCTGGCTTCTCCACATCCAGTTGGGAATCCTTGGAGCTCCCTGGTCTCTGACTCTGACCACATCCCAAGGTAAAGATTCTCCTCCAGTTCTAGGCAATGGGTCCCAATGGCAGACGCAGGATTGTAGAACTGGGCCTGGCCTGGGTTCTTCCCTTCTTAGCTCTGAGGAGCAATAAGTAGGCCCTAGGAAGGGCTGACTCGATCTCCAAATGTAGCTTCCCCCCCTCCCCCAGCCCAGTCTCCCTTCTGCAGAAGCACCATGAGTGTGAGCCTCTGACCTGAGGACAAGGATGACCAGGAGCCAGCACACTGCAAGTCATATCTTCCCTTTTTAATTACAATTTCCACTTCAGTGCAGCCTGATTTCATTCACTCCCCCATGGGGTCCTGCTCTTGTAACATTTTCATTGCCAGTTATTTTGTGACTCCCTCATTCAGAGCATACAATCTTCTTTTTAATTATCAACTCTCCTCTACCTCCTCTGTGTTAATCAACTCAGCATGAAGGCAGACTGTTTAAGGGTCAGAGAAGCTCAAGGTCAGGAGGGGTCAGGAATCATTCAGAAGTATTCCAGACACACGGGCAGAGACCCTGTACCTTTAGGGGCTTCAGCAGCCTGAGGCTGGTCCCATGGATTTACTGAAACACATAGAAACTGAGAAAGTGTCAGCACAGAGTTGCTGTCAACCTGAGCACCTGCTTCTTCAGAATCTGGACTCTACTGCGGGGATTTTCACCTTTTTCTTACCCTGTTTCATCAAATGTGGGTCTGACTGTAAAGTCCATGTTTTAACTGCTCTGTGTAAGAAAATATAAAGGGAGTGGTCCACATGTCCCCTGCTATCCTCTAGGAACTACCAATTTAACAGGGATTTGGAGGGAAAGATCCGAGGCACTATATTTAATTGGCACCTGCACATTGACCTTGCAGTCCAGTGCTTGGCAATATAATTAGTTGGTTTTAGAGTCAAATAGTGTGCATTGGAGTGAAAAAGTGAAAACTATTCCTGTGGGGAGGACCAGAACTTAATGTTCCTCCCTTCTCTGAGTTTTGTGGATGAGATCAGAATTTGAAAGGCAACAGGGAAAACGCAAACAGGGGCTGAACTAGAGGGGGCTTTTGGCTCGGATGGAGAATGCTCTTCAATGATCTACTTCACTAATGTCTTCCACCTCTGCGTAGATTTTTAACTCTTCCCCTCTGAAAAAAATAAAAAGGAACTGGCCCTAGTCGGTTTCACTTAGTGGTTAGACTGAAGGTCCCGGGTTCAATTCCAGCCAAGGGCACATATCTTGGTTGCAGGCTCGGTCTCCTGCCCCAGTCGGAGCACCCTTGGGAGGCACCGGATTGGTGTATCTGTCTCACATAGATGTTTCTCTCTCTCTCTCTCTCTCTCCCCCTTCCTGTCAGATGTATAAACACATTTCTTTTGGCCTGTGTGTCTTCATGCTGTGCCCAGACGCCTTTTTACCTCCATCTGACCAATCGAAACTGTACCATCCTGTAACGTACATCTATTACTTGATATCCTGAAAATACATCTGTATTCTCTTTTTAAGTTGAAACAAAGAGCAGCAATTGTTACCCATCCACAGTGCCTTATTCTACCCCTTCCTATTTGTGTACCTGTGGGCAGATTACTTATTCTCCTTAAGACTGAATATCTTTACCTGAAAATGGGAATATTAACAACCACTTAGGATAAATTAAAAATAAATAAAAATACATTTTAATAAATGAAATGCTGTATGTAAAATGCCTTGCAGGGTCCTAGCATATAGTAAGCTTTCTTTAAAAAAAAAAAAAAAAAGGAATTCTTGCCCTGGCTGGTGTGACTAAGTGGTTAGAGTGTCACAGGTTCAATCCGGCCCAGTCAGGGCACATGTGGGAGGCAACCAATGGATGTGTCTCTCTCTCATCTCTCCCTCTCTATTTCTCTCTCTCTCTCTCTCCCTCCCTCCCTTCCACTTTCTCTAAAAATCAATGGAAAAAAATATCCTCAGGTGAGGATAAACAAACAAACAAGCAAGCAAAATATGGAATATTTCACAAATTTGCATCATCCTTGTGCAGGGGCCATGCTAATCTTCTCTGTATCGTCCCAAGCAAGCTTTCAATAAATGTTAATCTCTTTTTTCTCTGTGTGTGTTCATTCCAATATAAAATGATTCATACCTCCTTTGCCATCCAATAAAATTTCTTTTGTGAGAACAAAATGTGTACATTATACATCCCACATTGTCCTATAGTATTAACACGCGCACGCGTCTCCTCTTTGCTCTTCAGTTTGTAGTGCCCTTAAGGGTTTGAGGCTTAACTTTATATGAATTATTTTACCTTCCCCTCATTGTCCCAAACTGACACTCTTAGTACCTTGAACATAGCATATACTTAAGAAATACTTGTTTTGCCCAGCTGGCATGGCTTAGCAGTTGAGCATCGACCTATGACCCAGGAGATCGCCTCTGAGATGAAATAACTTCCTGTTCATTTTTTCTAATGTTTAATACATAGGATTTTGCTTGTTAATTTATTCACTCTGCTTTACCATATGTAAAATGATTAGAACAGTGCCTGCCCAAAGTAAATACTATATAAGCTTTTACTATTATTCCCCTCCTCTACCAAGTGTACTTCTTTCAGTTTAGTCCTTGGCAAATACTGTCAAACATTGTCCCTCAATTGCTGTTGTCCAACTGAGACAAGCAGGAAGATCTCTGGGTTCCTGTTCTGTTTGGGGAAGAGGGGCTGTGGGTGAAGGGAGAATCCCAATTGGTCTGATTACAAAAAAATCCCGCTCAAATGCTACCATCTAGTGTTCACTTCATAAAGCTAGAAGTAACCATTCTTCCTCTCAGCAAGGATCATTTTAATACTATTTCGTTATTGGATCCCAGGTTTTGGGAAATTTTGATAACCAAAAGTACGACACCACTTTTAGCAGTACTGAGGTGGTAACTGAGGAACTGGAAAGTTAATATTGCCACTCTCATTTTGAAGATAAGAAAATAGAGGCCTAGACGGTTTAACTTGCCTTCTTTTTTGAAGCTAGTTGAGAAAGAATCAGGATATGTACCCTGTCAAACTGTACGCATTTTCATCTATACCCTAGTGCCTATTAAACTTTTGGAAATCCCAGAAACAGCCCACAAATTCTGGTTAATATCCTCATAGATTTCTACAGTGTCCTTGATTGAGAACTGCTGCACTAAAGAAACACAAAACCTTCTGCATATTAATGTTCTTGAAATAAATTGTACCACTGAGACTCAAATATCTAAGTTAGAAACAATAGGTGCTAAGTACAAATCAACTTGAGTCAACTTTGTAAGAACTGAATTATGTGATAGTGATTTAAAGAGAAAATGAACAATAAATTAAAAAATACTAACCTTCCCCAAAGCATCCTACATCCTTATGAGAATTAAAACCAAATGATAGGCTGCATTGTTGTAGATATCGTGGAGATGTTATTTTTAATGACTTCTAAATTAAAAAATAAGCTTATGTTCAATGTTGGACATTATTTTTGTGTGGTGGTGGTGGTGGGATGAAAATTATTTTAAACAGGAAAAGGAAACAAAAAGTAACAATAATCTCTAAAAGCCAATCACTTAATCTTTCTTAATATTTTGATGTATATTTAAAGTTTTAAATGTACATTTGAATATGTGTAATTCTTTTTTTAATCCTTAACTGGGGATATTTTTCCCATTGCTTTTCAGAGAGAGTAGAAGAGAGGGAGAGAGAGAGAAAGAGAGAGAGAGAGAAACATTGATGTGTAAGAGACATCGACTAGTTGCCTCCCACACTTGCCCCAATGGGTCAAGCCTGCAACCGAGGTAGGTGCCCTTGGCCAGAATCGCACCCTGGACCCTTCAGTCCACCGGCCGATGCTCTAACCACTAAGCCAAATCGGCTAGGGCTGTGTGTAATTTTTAAAGTAGCAACATGCTAAATGTGCAGTTCGGTTGTCTTTTTTTAAACAGATATATTGGTGCCCTGGCAGGTAGCTCACTAGAGCACCATCCTAGTATACCCATGTTGTGGGTTCGATCCCCGGTCAGGCCACATACAAGAATCAACCCATGAGCCCTGGCTGGTATGGACCAGTTGATTGTCATCCCATGTACTAGAAGGTCACCAGTTTGATTTCGGGTGAGGGCACATACCCAGGTTGAAAGTTAGATTCCCGGGTGCATACAGGAGGCAGCTGATCAATGTTTCTCTCTCACATGGATGTTTTGTTTCTCTCTCTCTCCCTCTCCCTTCCTCTCTCTAAAAACACACACACACAAAAAAACAAAAACCAAAACAAAACAAAACACCACCACCAAAAATCATTGTAAAGAGAAAGCTTTCAATGCTTTACCATTAAGTAGGGTGTTAAAAGATTTTTTGCAGATACCCTATAATTTCCCTTCTACTCCTGTTACTGAAAAAAACCAAGTGGGCTACTCACTGTTCTAAAGCCAATACTCCAGAGACAACTGTTGGGTGAAAAGGAAAGTTTGCTTTATTCAGGAAGACAGTCGAGCTACTGTCCAAAGACCATCTCCGAAGTTTCATACCAAGCAGAAGAGTTTTAAGGGGAGGAGGGAGGGAGAGTTCCAGGGAACTGAGAGAGAAGTCTGTGTTTCTTCAATCACAGATAACACTTTTTCACATCAGACTCCTGGGTGTCAGCAGCTGGTCTCAGCTACCTTGAAGACATTCTTTCCTACTGCAAAATGAACTCATAAATATTCCTGGCGACTTTGAAGTGATCTCCTATTTAACAAAGAGACAGCAATTTAGGATTACGTTCGTGAGAACAAAAGGGGTTGAGTGGGAAAAGTGGTTAACATGTGAACAAAGTCCTGGTTAAGAATTAATTTAAATTCTAGTTGCCAAAAATACTAGGCGCATTAAAATCACAAAGAGCTTGGCTACACACCTGGTTTTCCATGAGCACCTACGCTGAACAAGTTTTTAATCGTTTCTTTACATTCAAGATGGTATTTTCTCCATTCATCAATCATTACCTTTAATTCTTATGTTAAAATAACCTAACTTGCTCATAATGTATTATCCTTATGTAATGCTAGATTTCCTTAACCTTTTGCTTACGAGTTTCTACATCTACATTTATGAGCAAAACTGGCATATAATTTTCCTAATTTTCCTTCCGTTTGCTGTTCTTGTCAGGTTTTCTTATCAGGGTTATACTAGGCCTCATAAAAACGTTAAGGTTCCCTGTTTTGTTTTGCTTTTTAAAATGTCTTTATTGATTTCAGAGAGAGGAAGGCAGAGAGAGAGAGAGAAACATCAATGATGAGAAACTCATTGATGGGCTGCCTCCTGGGGACCGATCACGAAACCCGGGCATGCGCCCTGACGGGGAATCCAACCGCGATCTCCTCAGCGGCCCGGCCAAGTGTTCCCTGTTTTTGTCGCCCGGTCCCAGCTATATCTGGAAGTATTTGATCAAGACGGACATTTTGTTTTCCTTATAATATGTTCGGTTGGACTTGCCAAAGAGCCAGGGTGGCCTGGAGTCCGCCTTGTGGGAAGATTGTAGACTTTTGTTATTAAACCGTTTTGGTTTTCCAGTTCCCGGCACACTGACAAAGAAGTACTTCCCCTGGACTCCTCCATTCCGAAAGCACCGCTGGGGCCACAGGATACTGAACTGAGGAAAACGCGGAAAAGATGCGGCCACAGCCCGCCACGGAAGAAACAGCATTACCATTCGGGGTTCGGCCGGCCCCCCAACGCCCGTCCTCCCGGAAACCGTGTTCTGACGCCACCACGCCGCAGCGTCCTCCTAGACTGCGATGGCGCCTATTGCATTGTGGGACACGCGAGGATACTCTTCGGTCCTACGTAGTGCATCCGGGCGTGTTTCCGCGCGGTGGCCCGGGCACCTGTTTCTACTTCCTGCACAACTTTCCATTGTGTGTGAAGAAGGGGGATGGGCCCGTTTCCGGAGAGCAAGTTGATTCAAGGAAATGAAGCAAGTGTAGGTGCCGCTAAAACTAAGGGACCTGACTCGGGGCCGGAAACCTGTCAGTGGTTCACGTGACTCTCTAAGTGGCGTTAAGGTCTCCCACCGGCCCCGCCCCAAGGGTCACATGACATGCCGCTGCTCTGCTGTCATGTGACTTTCGCATCGCTCGCGACTTTGCTCTTAATAGTAGTATCTTCGTGGGGAGAAAAAGGGACATTTGTAATATTTTAAACAAAAATAAAATGAAAAGAAAAAAAAGAGGAGTACCTCCGGGTGTGAGCGCCTTTACCGCCGCCTGCCTTGGAGCCCGTCCCTAGGCGCATGCGCAGCACAAGGCTGTCTCCCAGCTCCCACTTCCGTTTCTCCCTCCGGGGTGCAGGGACGCGCGCCCAAGCTGTCCTCTCCTCTTGCGGTCTGGAGGAGAAGGTAATCCCGCTACTGGCGGTCAGGGACTCGGGACAGGAAATGTTCACCGGCGTCTGCTGAGACTGTCGCTGTCGCCACCCAGAGGGTGGGAGGAAGAGTGGGTGCCACAGGCAAGGTGGCGCCTCTAGGGATTCAGTACAGTGTGTGTCTGGTGCGCGGGAGAGATCCGGCGGTGGAGTAGGAACTCGCGTGTGCTTGTCGCCGGCACTTTCTCTCTCTCCCTTGGGCTCTCTTGGGAGTGAGCGTGGGTCCCAGGCGCCCCTGGGTCCCACGAGCGTTTTCCCATCCTTAAGCAGACCACAGCCGGTTCCTCCTCCGCCAAGGCCTTACAACCACTTTTGGAGTTTCTGCCCCGTAGCGTCTACATTCCAACCACCACCACCACCCGTCCGCCCCCGGCTTAACTCAAACTGCCCGTGGTCCGTATGGACATATCAAATATAAATTGCCCTGTTGTGTTTTTTTTAGGTTTTTAGCTATCCAGTTCAAGAAATACCTTCCTCCTCTCCGATTTCCATCCCCACCCCATGGTAGTAGGACTAATCCACCGCCACCGGAGGCTCACTGCTGTATCTGGCATTCCCCATCCGCTCTTCTCATGATATTTGGCATAATTTTTCCTGGCTACTCTTGTTGAAACACATTCTTCAAAAATATTTTCCTCCATTTATTAGGCTTGCTTGGGGTTTTTTGTTTTTTGTTTTGATATCCTGAGAGAGAGAGAGGGAGAGGGGAAGGGAGGGGCTGCCTCTTGCACGCCCCCCACACCGGGGATGGAGCCCACAGCCCTGATAGGAATCCAACCAGCAAACGTTTGGGTGCTCGGGACAGTGCCCAACTAATTGAGCCACACCAGCCAGGGCTTTCTTTCTTCTTTAAAAGTTGATTTTAGGGAGGAAGGGGGAGAGAGAGACATGGGTTGGTTGCCTCCTGTAGGCGTGCCCTGACTGCAGATCGAACCAGTAATCTAGGTTATGTGCCCTGACCAGGAATCCATCCCCAGACTTTCCCATGCACAGTGAGGATGCTCCAACCAACTGAGCCACATCGGCCAGGGCTATAGTATTTTATACTTCTGGAAATCCTCCCATTTAAAAAATACAAAACACATTGTATTTGATATGCATAACGACTCAGGGAGGTCAACAGGACTGGCATAGCACCCTCATTTTTCAAGTGAAGAAACTGAGGCTCAACTATATTTTGTTGAGCAATTGTAACTTATGAAAATCGCACAACTGGTAAGTAGAAGAGATAGGCATCCAGACTTCCAGTCCAGTCTTCCATTACACCAAGAGTAAATACTAGTTAAGAGGGCAGACTCTGGCTCTTTGCAACTTTGAGCAAATTAACCTCACCATGGGACAATTTGTCTGTAAAAATGGGAATAGTACATAGCACCTGGGTAGTACTTCACTGAGGTTAAAGGATGCTAATACATGCAGAGCACTAGAACAATGCTTGGCAAATAATAAGTCCTTTATGAGTGTTAGTAATTTTACCATATCAACTAATGAGATGGAAGTCTCATTATACACCTTATTAATAAAACACCCAATCACACAAGTAGAGCACATCTCAGAAGTTTTATGGGTGTGGAAAGAGTAGAGAGCAAACCTTATTTTTTACTCCCAACATTCCAACTATCGTTGGCTTAATTTTTATTTCAGTGTCCTTCTAACCAAATAAACATGTAAAAACTGTGTTAGGAACACTGCCTGGGACTGGGGATCACCAAGACCTTCAGTTACTAAAGAAGCTGAAATCAAGAGTATTGAATCACTGAAAAAAACCCACACCAATCAATATGTAACATAATTTTAAATAAAAATGAAGTTATCAGTCTCAGCCCCCATCCACTGATTAATACATGGAGTCACCTAATATTCTTAGCACCAACAATGTTAGGTCAAAGTCCCAGGGAAACCCAGCTGCAACACTGCAAATTGTTTAAAGAAGTGTTTCAGTTCTGCTGAACTCATACATCTGCCTCTGTCAGCACCAAAGTTTGTGTGGATCTTTTGGACACCTTGGATGGACATAGCTTGATGTTCAGCTACAACAGTTTGCTGAAAGCTGGCTTTGGTAAATTATCTAGAAGCAGGAGACTCCCACAGTTCTAATTATGCTAATTTTGGCTGACATGCATCCAGTCTTCTGTTCCTGGCAAACTTCCAGCCCCAGCCTTGTCCAGTTCGTTGTATGAAAAGGCCCTACCTGAGCCCTGTGGACACCACAAAATCAGGGCAATTTCCCAAACTATTGCGCTGGATGCTACAAAGCCCTGGGTAAGGGGTGAATGCGTTATCAGCCTGGGGGAAAGCCCGGTTGGCTCTGTATTTCTGATACAGAAGCTAAGTGCAGTCCTCAGCTATGGTTCCTGCAAAAGCTGCAAGTTGGGGAAGGGCACATCATAGGGAGTGTGACCCCCTCCGCCCACTACTGACAGGTCAGACTCTGGGCCCTTTCTCAGGGCCGGCTCACTGCTGTTGCCTTTTGTCTGGCTTTCCTGATTAGCTGCAGTGTGCAACAGTGGTCTGATAGCCTGACTCTACTTCCCTCACCTTTTTCCTGGTACACACACCTTAGAAAGGCACTCTGATTACTAAACACAGCATTCCTTAGAGAGGGATTGATCTTTTTTAGGCTGCTGACTGGATAAATGACAAGTACAAAAGAGATAGGAGATTATTATGTAAACCTAGAGGTGAGGGAGTTCATTGGTGAGGTTGGAGTGGGACATGGGTACATGTAAGAAGACTGGAGTTCAGAGGAGACAACCAGACTGCATTGTCTATGAATATTATTTTATAGTTTTAATATTTTACTGTGTGAGTGTTAACATGATAATACCTGTTCAATACTAAATTTAAAAATAAAATGGTTTATGTTATTATTATAATTTGATAAATATATCCATTTCCTTAGGTTTGAGAATTCCTTTATAATGACTCATCTAAATATATTTGTAGAATTCAGTTCAAATTAATTAGGGAAGACATCAGACCAATTTAAAACAAGTACAAATAATGTGAATATGAGCCTTAACTGAATACTTTGATCTTTGGTTCAGAGATGAAACTTTGAAAAAAATATATTTCCCTGAATTGCAGACCCAAGAACAGATTATCCCGAGGGCTCAGGCAGAGTTAGGGGAAGAATGGTAGGTGAAAAGGTCATAGAGGCAATGGAGTGGCCCCTTGCTATAGCCAGTTGGGGTGAGAAGCAATTCCTTTGAATCACCAACTTCTGACCTCAAAGTTTTCCCACCCTGCAGACACTTCCCTATGCCAAACTCTGGATATTAGCATCTCACCCAAGGAGAAGGAGCAGGAGCCTGGACCTGTGGGCCACAATTTCCATTTACAGTTAAGATGTACACTTCAGTGTGGCCTGATTTCTTTTACTGTCTGTAGAATCCAGCTAATGAAACAGTTTTCTCACCAATTCATGACAACTTCCTCATTCAGAACATATGGTCCTCCTTTTACCATCCGTTCTCTTCTACGTCAATCAGTCAACATGGAAGAAGATCATTTGAGGGATGCCGGAATTCAAGGTCTTTGAGACTGGGCACAAGTCAGAGGTCACACTGAAGAGAGCACTAAACACATTCCAAACGTGAGGGGTGACCCTGGTAGTATCAGGAGCAGACAGCCTGAGGCAGTGGCTCATAGTTCTGAGCCACCCAAAAGCTCATAAAAACTGAGTCCATGGTTTCAGTTTATCTATAAAACTTAATTTTTAAGACTACAAGGACAAGACTAGGGTGTCACTCTTCCCTCTGTCCCTCATCATCCTCCAGTTGCTGGCTACCATTTATTGAGCATGTAGTAGATGGTAGGCACAATGCTAAGCACTCAACTTGCCTGGTCTCATTAAGTCA